CCAGCAATGCTAATTCGATTCCTTCCTGTCCATACTGTGACCGCACCTTAACATCGGCCTGATCGGTCACTTGTGAATCAATTGAAGTGAGACCAGCAAACCGGCGCCTGGGGCCTTGACACATACTTACTGTAACGGGCCCAACTCCTCATACTTTCCGCGTACATTTGATGGCAAGTAACGGTCGCAATACGACAGTGTCGTTCTCGGGCTTCTCGGTGATTACTAAGGTTGTCGGTGTGTCATACCTCAGGTCTGCGCTAGCTGGTAACGCCAGCAACTAGGCTAACGGGGAAACCCATCGTCCACTCAAGACGTAAGTCATCATAAGTGGCACCCCGGGTACTTTACTGTTACATATTGTTTAATGAAACTGTGGCTTTAAAGGGCGGGGTAAAAACAACCCCTCCACATTTCAACTTTCATGCTGTAGAAGTAAACATCCCTAAATATAGTGAAAAGTGCTTGCAAATATCAGAGTAATCTGCAGATGGCCGGCTCACGGAGGAATTTTTGGTGTACGAGGTTTTGGTCTTTAATCTAGTCAAAATAAACTGGGCAATTCACTTTTCTGGGCATTTGGCTGCACCATTACCTGAAAAGGTGAATGAAAACTACGTGCATCACGAATTATATAGCCAGTAAAAGCAATTTTTCCCTTTGATGGAAAATAGAACGAAAATGAAGTGTTTTACTTCCTAGTTGCAGTGCTGCGCTGGTTGGTTCAGCTAACGGGATGGAATCAGACTAGCCAATTGTACACACAGTCGTATCCAGTCTTTAGGTTGGAAAAAAGGAGGCAAGTAGGATTTTTTACTTAAAAGCAAAAAAGGCAGGGTCCAGTAGAAGGAGAAGACAGCGAACACACACATACCCGGCTTTTAATAGTTTATTTTCAAGCTGCAGTAGTGTCAAAAGCACGCGGAATAGGCGCACATCGTCTGTCAGAAAAATTTGGACAGCGCCTCTTTCCAACAAGGTTTCGTGGTAGTGGTCAGGGTAGTTAGTAGAGCCCGCAGCAGCAGCGACAACTGCCTTTCTAAAGGCATCCAAAAGGCAGGGCAGTCGCGGCGATTCCAAGCCTGGGTGGAAAGAGGTGAAGGAGAGGAATGGATGATAAGACTTGTGGGAGGACGGTAGGAATGGCGATACCTGTGACCGCTAAATAGTCTCTCTTTCTCACGAGTGTTTTCCTTTACATCATATGTAATAAATCCATGCCATTTAGCCAATTAAGGGTAACCATTTTTGCAGCATTAAAAATAAACACATGAAAGCTGACATAACTTTTACTGCATTTTCCTTCGTCGGTTTTTAGTACAACTTCTTTAATCTGCAAGTGAGCCCTAAATTTTTTCCGACTTTATGAGTGAATCCGAAAAGGCCTGCTTCGAGGATTTTACTAGAAGTGGACACTTTAATTTTCGACAAAATTTACAGATTAAGATTGAAAGACGAAAGCATTTATGTACCAAAAATCATATAACCAATGCTGGGTGATCCGTTGGGAGACAATCCTCCTGTAGTCACATAAAGTCGGCGAAGTATATGTGGGCATTGCTATCATTTGGCCAGGTACTTAGAGTTCATATGAATAGTAT